GGGTTCTGCTGCTTTAGAATTTGTTTATAATCATTTTGGAGGGGTTTGGGGGAGAGCTCAAGCAAATCACTGCTTTCACTCCACCATCTTGGCTCCTCCAAATTATCTTAAATAGAAAATCATTCATTTATCACCTTTGGCATTTTATACTAATCACATCTAGAACCCAGTACAGAGCAACTGCATTCAGTTAAGGAGATAATAATCAACATTTATACAGTTCTTGCCATAGCCAGGTTTTCTGTTAAGCATGTCACAATCACGTGATTTTCACAACATGGGGAGGTGGGTGCTATTTTTATCCCTTTTACAGATTAGTACACCAAGGTAAACAGAGATGGAGTTATTTGTCTGAAATCACACAGTCAACAAATTTACAAAGACTGGATTTTTAATTCATATTCTCCTCAAATCATGCTCTTTTAGCATTTTGCCTTAATGCCAAACATTATTATAATTTTTTGAGATAAATCTTTACCATATTAAATCAATTTGCAATCACAAAATCAAAATCTCAGATTTTCTAAGGGCCACATACTCCCTGTACTTCACATTATAAGACCTGCTACTTTCAGGTAGTCGTCTTTTAAAGATTTTAAATGGTAGTCTTGTATTCTCATCCCCCTCTTTAGGATTTATGAAGATTTTATATTACGCATATAACAACCAAAATATACTCTTCTAATAGTCCTTCAAGGGCAGAATTTTAGTATACTATCTTCAAATAATTTCACGTTGCAAACATATTACTATACTTTCCATATCATAAAGAATAACCACATACCATTTCTTATATCTTTTGTATCAAATACCTTTTGGTTACTTATTTTTAATTTACCCAAACAATTAAGTTCTGTTATATTATTCACAGAAGTAACATAAAGCATTTTTCCAAATTAAGTTTCACTTATATTCAAGTTGCTCCCTTAAATAAGCTCTTTTTGTGGGTAAGAAGCAAGATAGTTATTAAAATTCAAATTACAAACTTGCTTTGAAATTTAGCCTAAACCAACTTCCCTTTCTTTAACCTGTTGAGCAGCTCTCTGGGATATAACCCTTCTAGGATGCAAGGTGATGTTGGTTCAGATTTTCTCTTCCTTTGCCTTTTCATATACATCTATAGCGATGCTCTTAAATTCATCTATACCCTTCTCATGCCACCTAGGGCAGAAAATATAGATACATCACTTAATTCTTGGCAGGGATTGATTGCTAACAGCAGAGTTAATCATTTCTGCATCATGTGGTTTAAGTGGATCCAGCCCCAAATCCTGCCTGGTGCTTTTATGTAGTCTGTTATAAAAATGGGTAGGGGGGCAGGTAGGTGGCACAGTGGATAGGGCACCAGCTCTGGAGTCAGGCAGACCTGAGTTCAAATCCGGCTTCAGACACTTGACACCTACTAGCTGTGTGACCCTGGGTGAGTCGCTTAACCCCACTGCCTAGCCAAAAAATAAATAATTAAAATGGGTAGAAGTCTCATTTTCTTCTTGACAAGTTGTTCAAAATCTACTCCAATTAATATCCATACCCAAATTGGGGGGTCTAATATAATTTACAGCAAAATTTCTAATTGTAAAACACACCAATTTGAAATTTTGATTCTAAATTAATTAGTACTTAACTTTTGCTGGGTCCAAAATTGTCCAGTCTGCAAGAAAAACCACCGAGGCAGAGCTCTAAGCTAAGAGCACTTTATTAAAGGGTCCATGCCCCCCTCTAACAGAGTGGACCTCAGATCTTCCTCATGATCTGAAATGCCCCCTTTTTCTAGGGCCTTAGTTTTATAGTGCTTGATATCCAGACAATACAAATAAAGCAAACTAAAAATACTGAATCTCATTGTTTGATAGACCATGCCCTTGACTCTCCAGAAGGGTCTACATACAATACAGATTCCTACTGGTCGACAAATAAGCTGATGAGAAGACCTCAACACAGCTGTCGACCTTCAGGAGGTCCCACCAAGCTATCAAAACATTTAGGGAAGTTGATGGGTCAACAGAAAGGCAGGCCACAGACCGGCAAACAGGGTCATCTATTGGCCAAATACTCATGGCCACCGCCCCATATTTGGCAATGAAGGGATGATGAGGAATGGAGGGGCAACTAAAATAGCTGGAGTACTTTCCATGTTATGGAGTCACCTCTGCCACACTGGGCTTGGTCACCACAACAAGGCAAAAATAAGGGTGGAAGTCTTCTGGTTAGCTTCCTGTGATTAAGCAAGTGAACTTATAATCCGCAGGTCACAGCTCTGGGGCCTGATGCACAGAATTTATAATTAATACCCCTATGGAATCATATCAAACTGATCAATACTGTTGGACTAAAATTTGGGTCCACTTAATCATCTATCATACTACATATTACTATATTACATGTTACTATATTACAAATTAATGTAAAACTCCCTTGTATTCAATAACATGTTTTAGTAAAATTTATTTACTTTCTGTTGTTTCCTGATTTACACAAACTTTTCTCTTTTGGGGGAGAACCAGGAAAGAGTTAATAATAGATAGGTAGTTCCTAAGTACCACAGCTATTTAAAAAGCAAGCTGCTACTAATTTTTTCCTACTCTGGAATTTCACTGATACTACTTTCTTTTTTCTCTATTCAGTAAAATTACCTTCCTCTCACACTTAAAAGAATAAATCTGCCACTTTCCAGGGGAAGAGTAATTAAAGATCAATGTAACATTCATAGTTGTGTTCTTAATTTCTTTAAACAAATTCTAAAGAATGTTAATCCAAAACTCACTAGAATATTTCAGCATTTATAAAAACATTCACACCACAATTTGGAAATTCACAGTAGAGAACTTATATTTTAGTCACAAACTCAGTTTCTAATTAGTTTTGTTTTTGTTGTTCAGTCATGTCTGAGTCTTCCTGATCCCATTTGGCTTTTTCTTGGCAGAGATATTGGAGTGGTTTGCCATTTCCTTCTCCAGCTCATTTTACAGATGAGGAAACAGAGGCAAACAGGGTTAAGTCACTTGCCCAGGGTCATATGGCTAGTAAGTATCTATGAGTCTTCCTAACTCTATCCACTGTGCCACCTAGCTGCCTTCTAATTAGTTTATGATGTCATAAAGTTATATGGTTGGAGGGATAAGATTCCCTTTCTTCTTTTCTATCTTTCTCTCTTCACTCCCAAAACTTGGCCAGAGCTTAGAAATGTAGATAGAAAGGGAGACTGTCTTTCTGAAGACTTAGAGAACTCTCCAGGGAGATTCACAGTCTTTCAGTTAGTTCACAAGACACAGAGAAGCATTTGCCAGCAAAGTTTTTCCTTCTAAACTCTGTGCACATAATTTTCTAAGAGCAATCTCAATAAAATAAGGGGTTATTGCCACAAGAAGACACAAAGACAGTAAATGCTAGTGACAAAGCTTCTTAAAAAATATATTTTTTTTTTGTTGTGTACACATGAAAGTCCCTCTGCAGGTCAAATCTGTGACACAGATACCTTTTTGACTAATGATTTTGGTTTCCTCTTCTCCTTTTCCAGCTGGTAAGATTCCTCTATTGGTTCGACAGACACTCACCAGCTATGGTTATTGGTGACTGCTGGCCATGCCACTTGCCATTAATAGTTATTGGGGACACACGCTTTCCCAATCCCTTCTTCAAATAGGAAGTATCTCTGTTTCTTCATTCCTCCTTCAACTCCCTGAAGAGGAAGTGGGCATCTCCCTAAGGGGTGTCTTGGTGTTACAGTATTTCCCTAAAGGGATGTCAATGTCAATAATGTGGGCCTCTCCTGGAAGGAAATCTAGAGCCCTTTGAGAGGGAAAAAAATTTTCTTAAACATTCTTAGTCCCTAATTCTGATTTCTGGGTTTACTATTACCAAATGCTATCAACAGTCACACTTAAACACTAACAGAACACAAGAGAAACAAGGCAAAATCTGCCCAACAGTATGTGTAGGACTTACCTTAGCTCAGAAAGGATAGGACTGAGGGGAGCACTCCTATCCTGGTGGAAAGTCTCATCTGAGTGCTGTTAAAGGGGAAATACCCCCCAAGAGGCTGCCCCAGAGCTAAACTTCCCATCCCCAATCCCTATGTGGTTGCCAAACTGTAACAGTTAAAATTAAGACAGACTAAGGCACAAAGTTTCAAGTCCAATCAATTTATTAGTAAAGCATGAATTTACCAATAAATAGAATCTCAGCTTCCCCAGAAAAGCTAAAACCCTGAACATGGGGGACAGGGACAGCTCTCATTTATAATTTTGGAGAGTACGTAAAATAGGCAGTCTAGCATCATAGATGGAAGAAAATGTGACTGGATGGAAGTTTGGGGATGAGGGCCAGCAACAACCCCTTCCTTCCCTCCTATGACTAAGAAGTGTTCATTGTTTGAGTCTGCATCTCCAAGGACGAAGGAAGCAAATTAGACTCTTTTTTTTTTTTTGATGAGGCAATTGGGGTTAAGTGACTTGCCCAGAATCACACAGCTAGTGAGTATTATGTGTCTGAGGCCGAATTTGAACTCAGCTCCTCCTGACTTCAGGGCTGGTGCTCTATCCACTGTGCCACCTAGCTGCCCAAATCAATCTTCTTCAGATTACAAACCAGACATCTTTGAAAGATAGTTTAGTGGTATAAAGATGCTAGAACAGACTCCTTGGGATCCACCTGCTTCCTTAAAGGGTAAAATATTTCCTTGACACAGGAACAAGAACAATGATTAATAAGAAAACTGAATTTCTAAACCTGACTCATTACAGGCCAGTTCAGAGACAATCATGCCATGCCCATTATAGGACAAAATCAATTAACTGTAAGTAGAATCAATTAAAGGCAGTAGAGTGCTGAAGTGGATAGAATGCTGGGCCTGGAGTCAAGAAGACCTGAGTTCAAATGTGGCCCCAGACACTTACTAGCTATGCAACCAGGGGCAAGTCACTTAACTTCAGTTTGCCCCAGTTTCCTCATCCGTAAAATGAGCTGGAAAAGGAAATTGCAAACCATTCCAGTATCTTTGCCAAGAAAACCCCAAATGGGGTCCGCCACAACTGAAGCGACTGAACAATAACAAAGCACCAATTTTTAAAAAGTCACAGAATCAATCTGATTATTTCATAATAAAGGTTATGACGTTCACATAAATCCATGTAAAATGTGTTGGCTTGTCTAGTTATTTGTTACCAATCAATCAATAAACATTATGCACCTACAATGTGCCTGGCATTATGCTAAAAGTGTTGAGGATACAAAAAGAGGCAGAAGACAATCCCTGCCTTCAATGAGTTCACAATCAATTGGGGAAAAGTTGCAAGGGAGGATTCTACTTGGAAATGGAGGAAAAAATCATTGGAAGGTCACAGTATGAGAAAAGTACAATGATAAAACATTTTTAAAAAATTCCCCACAAGTCCCCAGTTTAAGAAACAGTAGGTTAAAAAGAAAGGTCAAGAACCAGCTGAGTATTTAATGCTATATATCTTTCTGAAGAGGAAACATGTTTTCTCCAATGTCTTGGAGTACTTCTATCTTCTTCTGCAGGTGTTCCTGCTCACTCTGAAGTTTTGATATCACAGTGTCTGTGGTAAGAAAATTATTTCAGAGCATTCTGTTTTTACAGCATGAAGTGTCATACCCTTGCTCACAAGTCATTTCTAGATATATCTTAAATCATTTTAAGAATGTTAGATCAATTCAAAATATCAAAATTCTACTTTGCTTTATCCCAAGATTTCTCTGTGAAACATAGTACTCTGCTTGGGGAATGAAGGGTAATTATTCTACCTTAAATGAAGTAGGTATTTTAAGTCTCACAAAAAAAAAAAATCACTCACCTGATATCTCTCCCTGCAAACACACACACACTTTTCATCCAGAGCACAATTCTAGATTTGGTTTTAACCCCACCTTAAAACTAGGTAGCAAATCCCTGTGAAGGCACCATCTATAACTATCACTTAGATTACTTCATGACAGAACATAAAAATCAAATTCCACTATAAGGAGATGCAGATCACTGCCACCTGTGATGTAATTTAGTAAGAACATTTGCACTAATGAACTATCATGAAAATGCTTCAGAGATCTTTGGTGGTTAACTGGATAGCACTTTTAGTTTTATCTTTCTTCCGAGTGATCACTGTCTGTAGTCCATGAGCATCACCTCAAATAAGGTTACAACTTTTTTCTAATAGGAGAAAATGAAGTTCCCTCTCCAAACATCAATATGAGGTTGCCTTTTGCAAAGCATTATTGTTTCATTCATTGATTCATTCACAGGTTTAGAGAACCTTGCAAAAACAAAGGCTTTTTTTGTGTTTAAAAAATAATGAGGGTCATATACCTAGGAAAAACTGAGTATAATCCTTCAGGGGAAAAAAATGGATATTCAATGAGATAGAGGACTTTCAAGCATTCTTGATGAAAAGACCAGAGAAAAGAACAGAAAATCTGACTTTCAAAAACAGGACTCAAGAGAAACACAAAAAGGTAAACAGAAAAGGAAAATTATAAAGGACTTAATAAGATTAAATTGTTTACATGCCTACATGGGAAGATGATATTTGTAACTCATAAGGTCTTTCTCATTATTAGAGTAGTTAGAAGACATAATATAGAGGGCACAGGTATGAATTGAATATGAAAGGATGATATCTAAAAAATAAAATTAAGAGATGAGAGAGAGGAATGTACTTGGAGAAAGAGAAAGGGAGAGGGTGAGTGGGATAAATTATCTCACATAAAAGAGGCAAGAAAAAGCTTTCACAGTGAAGGGGAAGAAGAGGAGGGGAAGTGAGTGAACTTTACTCTTATCAGAATTGGCTCAAAGAGGGAATAACATACATTTTTCAAACGTAGAGAGAATTAAGGAAAATTTATGAAAGTAAGAGCCATTACCCAATTGATAAATGAAATGCAAATTAAAACAATTCTGAGGTACCTCATATGTATTAGATTGGCTGACAGGACAGAAAAGGTAAATGACCAATGTTGGAGGGGATGTGGGAAAAATGAGACATTAATGCACTACTGGTAGAGTTGTGAACTGATTTAACCATTGGGTAGAACAATTTGGAACTATGCCCAAAGGGCTATAAAACCATGCATACTCTTTGACCTAGCAATACCACTACTAGGTCTGTATCCCAAAATAGATAAAAAACAAAAAGGAAAGGGATCTATATGTATAAAAATATTTATAGCAGCTCTTTTCCGGGGGTAAAAGAATTAGAAGTTGAGGGAAAACCCATCAACTGGGGAATGGCTGAACAAGTTGTGGTATGTGACTATGATGAAATACTATTGTACTATAAGAAATAATGAACAGGATGCTCTCAGAAAAACCTAGAAAGACTTACATGAGCTGATGCAAAGTGAAATGTACTGTGTACAAAGTAACAGCAATATTGTAAGATGATCAACTGTGAATGACTTAGCTATTCTCAACAATACAATGATCCAAGATAACTCTGAATGACTTATGATGAAAAATGCTACCCATCCCCAGAAAAAGAACTGATGGTGTCTGAATATAGACTGAAGCATGCTTTTTTAAAACTTCATTTTATTTTATTTTTTTTGGTAAGGCAATTGGGGTTAAGTGACTTGCCTAGGGTCACACAGCTACTGGTGTCAAGTGTCTGAGGCTGAATTTGAACTCAGGTCCTCCTGACTCCAGGGCCAGTGCTCTATCCATTGCACCATCTAGCTGCCCCAATTTTATTTTTATTGAATATTTTTTTTTTGTCTATGGTTTCTTTCACAACGTGACTATTATGGAAATGTTTTGCATGACTATGTATATATAACCTATATCTAATTGCTTGCCTTCTCAGTGGGGGGAGTGGGGAGAGAGGGAGAGAATTTGGAACTCAAAGTTTTAAAAACAAATGTCAAAAATTGTTTTACATGTAACTGGGGGAAAATAAAATACTAAATTTTAAAAAACATTAAATAAAAAATGATGAGGGGTCTGGAGCTGGGATTTCATCGGTAAAGGGAAGTTCCAGAAAGGAGCTCCCATTAACAAATGTTCTGCAGCTTACAGGGAGAGGTACTCTGGTTACTGAGTGGTTAATGGTCACATGTGCAGTATACTGCCAGAGGAAGAATCTGAATCCAGGTTTCCTTGACTGGGGGCCCAGTTCTCTATTTACTTACTCTTTCAATACCTTAAATGTTTTTGTCTAAACTCTGCAATAATGGTTATTTTAAACTCAAAAGTACATACCTGCAGATATTTTCCTCAGTGATTTTCTAAATATGGCACAGTCAAAAAGTAAGGTTGCAATTTCTTGTAATTCTGGGAGGAGAGAAGAAAGAAGGATTCATTTTAGTCAGCTATCTACACAGGGACCAGACCTTCATTAGTCAATCAGCAAGTACTTTCAATAAGCACTTAACTGTGTACTAGGAATGCAAAATGATCATTGCCCTCCCTCAATGAACTCACATTCAAACAGGGAAGATACATATCCATGAAAGTATATGCAAAGTCACTTGACACTTACTAGCTGTGTGACCCTGGACAAGTAACTTAACCCCAATTGCCTCACAAAAAAAAAAACCCCAAAAAACAAAAAACAAACAAAAAAGTCATTTAAAAAAAGGAAAAAAAAAAGAAAGTATATGCAAAGAATATAAAATTTGCATACCTTGGAAGATAGGTGGTATTAGAACAAATATAAAATAATACTGTGTTCTTTATCAGTGATTTAGACAAATGAAAAGAATAAGCAGAATTAATTTGCTTTGCATAATTCTCATTCTTAGGAATAAGGGAATATTCTAATTTTGCTGAAGTTTAGTATATGATCCAGCTGCATCTGTGATTATAAAGAGTTCATAGTTTCAAATAAGATGCTTCAGATCTTTAGCAAAGAACGTGAAAAACTATAAAAAACCTCTTTCCAACCACCTTTTTTTTTTTGTAATTTGGGAGGGCTTTGCTGTTACAATCTGAATTCTGAATTAGACTATAAAGAGATACATACGTTGATTTTTAAGGAGACTGAATTCTGCACAATCAACTTAGAACTTAGAAATTTCAGTTGAGTGTTTTGTGGCTGAATGCAGCTCTGAATTTACATAGTTACATATTTGCTAAATAAATTTTTATTGATATCTTTTCATATTGCTTCCATTTCCAGATATGCCCATTCTTGCCCCCTGCCAGAGAACCATCCCTTTCCACAAAGAATGAAAAGATGATGAAAAAAATACTTCAGCAAGAATAATCAACACATCAGAAAACTCTGACACATGGAACATTCCAACACACACATACATACCTGCAATGAAGGGGAGGACATAATTAGTCAAATCTCTTTTGGGGGGGGCTAGACTAATTCATTATGGTTTCATTAATCTTGTTATTTAAAATGAAACTTTATTGATATCTTTTTGTTTTCATATTACTGACACTTCTTGATGTATATATTATATCTTGTGAACAAGATTCTGCCAGAGCCTCTGGAAAATGTGGAAGGACTTCGAGTCCTCCTTGTTTCTGTATATTCATCAATCTTGTGACAAAAAAGTTCAAGAATGTTGAACTTCTTGAAGTCAAGATGTCTGGGCTGCCACCCCCACTCAATGCAATGGAACAAACATTTAGTAAGGGCTCACTAGATAACAAGGCAATATGTTAGGCACTTGTATGACTACAAAGATAAAATGTATGATACAAAGACAAAAACAAAATAATCCCTGTTCTCAAGGAGCTCCCACTCTACTAAACCAGACATATCAAACTCCCACCAAAACTCCCAGGTGCGGCCTGAACCAGATTAAAATGTAATTGGGAAATGTTTAACAAAATAAATAAAAAATACAACACAACATGGACAATGTTAATTTGTGGTTTTCTAAGTCAACATGTGGCCAACAAAGATCAGTTTCTATTTGAGTTTAACACCACAGAATGTGAGAGAAAAGTAACAGAGGGACAGCCAGGTGACGCAGTAGATAGAGCTCGGGCCTTGGAATCAAGAACCTGAGTTCAAATCCAGACTCAGATACTTGACACGTAATAGTTGTGTGACCCTGGGCAAGTCACTTAACCCCGACTGCTATGGGGAGGGGTAAGAAGAGGGAAAAGTAACAGAAATAGAGAAACAATACAGAGAGAAAATTGTTATGTCTCATTTGCTAGCCTTTAGGAAGGTTCTCCACATTTTAACACATGATAATCATGGTACCTTTTTCTGAGGTGGTGTTGTCCTTAATCTTGAAATGAATCCCATCAAGATCCTCTAATAGAGATTCAAATAAACTTTCGATGAGCCCAGCATTTTTCATTTTCTTCAGTATATCAACTTTTGTTGGGGAAACACCTTTTCAGCATAGAAATTGCTTTAGTGAGTTTGAGCATGTAGTGTCTAGTAGTGAATTTATCATGACTTACTCAATGCCTAATTAACTCAGTGATGGCTAAATATGAGTAACTGACATCTTTATTATTTTTTCTAGACATCTTTTATTTGCAGTTTCTTAATGGACTCTTTTCTTAGATGAAACTAGGGACTATATTACAAAAGACAGTGATGATAAAAACCTAGGATTGAGGCAAACGTATAGGCCTTTAAAGTAAGACCATTTTGGATGTAATCTTCATCTCTTTGAGATGACAAGGCCCTGGAGTAGCGTTCTTAGCCTAGTGTCCATCAATAGACTTCAGTAGCTCTTTGAACGTGGATGGGAAAAAAAATTACATCTTTATTTCCCCATACCTCCTATTTAAATTTATCATTTCCTTCAATTATGAATGTAGGCAACAGACATTACTCTGTGCCTGGTTCATAGTAGGTACATAATAAATGCTTATGGACTTGTGAAGAGGGCCATAGTCTTTACCAGATTGCTGAAGGAATCCATGACATAAAAAAGATTAAGAATCCATGCCCTAGAGTATAATTTTCCTTTGACATGGCATCTCTATATTATAAGAAGAGAAAGTAGAATGTTATTTAATGCATTATATCCTATGTTCTAAGCCCAGATTACCTGTTTATAGCAGGCCCATTGAGAATATGCATATATAGCAAGCCCATAGGCTTGATAAAGAATTCAGATTAATCCGTGTTTGCTAAAATAACAACAAAGCCACAATAAAGGGGAGGGGAAGGAGTTAAAAATTATATTATCACTGTTTTAAAAGAAAAGAAACATTCACTCATAGGATTCAAATGACTTTGCTAAAGATAAAAGGGGACAAGGCCGTCTTCAGTGTATCTGGAGGGTGTCACATACAGAACAGACAATATGGTCAGTCTGAGAAGAACAATAAGCATTGTACAGTCCCATATGGTACATTAGTTACAAATTGATCTGGGAGGCAAATTAATTACATTGGGAAAACTAAATCTTAACAAATATAAAATAGGCATTTTAACATGCCATATGGTAAAAATAGAGGTAGTACTGCCTAGTAGGAGAATGGAGAGCTGGCCTCAAAGCCAGGAAGACCGAGGTGAAGTCCTGGTACATCTTGGCTGTGAGACCCTAGGCAGGTTCTTGACGTCTCCTTTCCTCACCCAGGATTTTTCTGTACGAGTGAAATCACAGGTTAAACTTCGGCTGTTACTAAAGCCAAATAATAGTTCTGTATTTGGTATCTGATCTAGAAAACAAAGACGACAAACTTACGGCTGTTTTTTCCAACGGTGTGTTTTTGGCAGAACACTCTAAAACACATAATTTAAAAGAATTAGTATTTATTCTGCATTTCCTTTGACTTAAAAGAAAATCCGAAAAACATTTTTAAAATCTTCTCAAAATGATAAACATAAATGCTATCTTAAACATTTAAAAAATACTGTTTTATATCAAATAAGGGTCCTTATAGCTCTATGATTCTTTGTGTGGTTTTCCTATTCATCTTTTCACAAGACATAGCTTGCACATTCCTATATTCATTCATTCTTTTTCTCCCTTTCCAAATCCTTAAGGCTCATCTCTACCCCCAGGTATTCAAAAAAGCAGGGACTCTAAAGTCAGAGAACCTGGGTTCAACTCTTAATACCTGTTACATGTTACTGCTTGGGCAAGTCATTTAAGCTCATTAGGCCTCAGTTTTCCTCATAAATAAGATAAGGTTAGATTAGATAAACAGTGGTCCCTTCCAGATCTCTTATCTATGACCCTATTGTGATAAGAGAATTTTTCTGTATTGGCTTTATGACTTCCATTTACTTAAGACAACTAGTCACATAATTAGCTGTACCTAGAAGAATTTAGCTGACATCAAATTTAAGCTCTGGTGATTAGTTGCTTAGTGATAAGAGAATTTCTGGCTCTATTTATATCTACATGGAAGACAGAGAGGGGAGACAAGGGGACAAATTAAGATTCCATTTCGTAGTCCATTTGAGGATAGGACCTGAACTAGAATGGTGGCTGTGCATGGAGAGAAGATGATAGATGCAAGGTATTCTGGAGATACAGAATCAACAAAATTGGTTGGATTTGGTAGGGGGAGAAAAAGAGCAAAGAGACTGATTTTGAGGCTTTGAATCTGTTGACTGGAAGGATGGTGGTGCCCTTGAAAGAAATAAGGAAGGAAATGGGAGGAACAGAATCAGTTTACTAATCTTTTCTTTGAGATGTTGCTATAGGACATAAAGTTGGAGATGCCTAGGAGCCAAGTAGTGATGTAGGATTACCACTTAGGAGAGAGAGGTAAGTCAAATCACTGTGAAGAATGAAAAACCCGAGACAGTGTTTCTGGGTAATTAATAATTAATTTTTTAATTAAGAATAGCTGGCAAACAATAAATTTATAGTCAGTGGTTTTGGTAACCAAAGACAAAAACATAGACAGCCTGAAGGCCTTAAATATTTTTTGAAAAGGAATGCTCCTGACAAATGAAAATCAACCCTGATTAGTGGACATTTAATGAGGAGGTGGGCTAAAAGTCTTCAGATCCTCCTGCTGAAAACATGGCTTGATCATGTGACTTAGCTGCCTCCAGAAATCTGGAGGCGAATCCATTTCCATCCAGATCACTCTAGTTGGTTTTCTCCTTCATGAACTGGGTTACCCTAAACTCTAATAGAGAGAAACAAGTACAAGGGCTCCTTCCCCCCCCCCCCCAAGAACTCAACTAGACTGGATTTTGTTTACATTCTGAACAGAAGAGAAGTTAAGTCTCCTAGTTGGGTGGGTTCCTACCCAAGAGTGAAGAGCATATTTCCTTGAGGGCTAAAACAACCATGTCCTTCAGAGATTGACTTTTTATGGGGGTTGGGCCTTACATGAGTAAATAAAGGAAAAAAGCCCAGATCCCAAATTAACAATTGATTATTAATACATAATAGTAAAATAATTTCTATCGGTCAACAAGTATTTATTAAGCTCTTACTATGTGCCAGGCACTGTGCTAAGCTCTGGGGATACACAGAAAGGCAAAAGTACTGTCCTTCCCTTAAAGAGCTCACATTCAAATGGGGGAGACAACGTGTAAGTAATTATGCACATATAAGATACATAACATACATACATATCCCATATAGAGTGGGAGGGAAGGTAATCTCAGAGGGAAGTCACTGGGGTGGGAGACCAGGAGAAGGTCTCTCCTATTAAAAAGTGGGATTTAAACTGAATCTTGAAGGAAATCAGGGAAGCCATGAAGGGGAGGTGAAGAGGGAGGAAACATTCCATAGATGAGGGACAGCCAATGCAAGAGAAGAGTCTGGAGATGGAATGACCTGTGCAAGGAAGGCCAGTGCAAGCAGGCCAGTGCAGCGTGGAAGGTAGTGTCTGGAGAAGAACTCCAAAGCTAACAGCACGATTTTCTTGAAGAAGTAGCAACTGCACAGTTTTGAGATGAATGGAAGTCCTTTTCTCCAACTGAGGAGTCATCATGAAGTTCCCTAGCCCACAGAGGTCGAGCTTCCTGAAGCTGCCTTTCCTCAGCCTCATTCTCTCTCAGTTCCTGGCCGGATGAACTGTTTGTTATTTTTCCATTTCTCTGAAGACGGGGTTAAACTTTGCCCTTATCCCATTCTGCTGTCTGCTTTTTCAAAGCTTATCCCTGATGCCTGGCTCCCGAAGTAGTTGCTGGAATGGTAACTTGGATACGTAGATTTGGGAGTCCTCTAAATAGGGATAACTGAACCTTTGGGAACTGATGGAATAACCAAAAGAGAGTTAATAGAAAAAGAAGGAAAGAGGGCTCAGGTTCAGGGGGTAGGAGATGGGATCCAACAAAGGACACTGAAAAAAGGTTGGTCAGATAGGCAGAAGGAAAAACAGGAGAGCATCTTTATTGAAATGAGCCAAAGTTTAGCCTTCTGCAATAATGCTACAGGTCTTCAACCTGTGCAAACTGGAGGAGCTAGTGTTTTAGCTATAGGCAGAGAGAATGGTTTCTAGTTCTTTCTGCCTAAGAGGACACCATTTCTGAATCACAGTGAACACTCCCTCCCTCTATTCAAGAGTCATTCAGTTGAAACAGCTTTGGCATTTGCTAAGATGGCATTGTAAGGAAAACAGCTATAAAACATGCCCTCTTCCTCCTCTATACTCCCATAAGCCTGGGTCCTACTATAAATACACATGTCATCAATGAGAAGAGTGAGAAAAGTAGAGTCACATACTTGGGGGACACATAGTCAAGGCATCTCAGGTGTCCACTTGAAAGGTGGATTCCTACTTGAGTATTGTATCTGCGCTGGGCAGCTCGCCCCCGGAGAGACTGAGCACAGCACTTCTGCTGGGCAATGGCTCCATTGAACTCCCGGGACTTGCTTTTTGTTCAATTGGGCATCAACTGTTGAGTATCAACAGTGTTCACGTCCTTAAGCTGCTCATCTACAATCATTAGCCAGGGTACTACTATACTCTTTAAAAAGAGCACAGAAGGGGCAGGTAGGTGGCACAGTGGATAGAGCACTGGCCCTGGAGTCAGGAGGACCTGAGTTCAAATCTGGCCTTAGACACATAACACTTACTGTGTGACTCTGGGCAACTCACTTAACTCCAACTGCCTCACTAAAAAAAAAAAAAATCTAGCCCATAAGTCCTAAGATATCTTGTGAGGTTTCAGAGATCAAAATGTATAGGGGCAGCTAGGTGGTGCAGTGGATAGAGCTCCGGCCAACCTGAGTTCAAATCTGACCTCAGACACTTGATACTAGCTGTGTAACCCTGGGCAAGCCAATTGCCTCACCTAAAAAAATAAAAAGAGCTCACACCCTCACCTCTCAATTATCACTGACTTTACACCATTTTAAAGCAAATTATGAGAACCAGTTCATCATAGGTTCACTTCAAATGGGTTCCCCTGCCTTAGGCATGTAGATCAGTGGTGTTTAATTCAAATAGAAACAGGGGCCATTAAACTGTATATAAGGATCTCTACAAGCTGTATACTGACTTAGTTTACAAATGTAATATTATCTGTTTTCTTTAATTGTTATCTACTTCGATAAATATTTCCCAATTACATTTTAACCTGCTTTAGGTTGTACTCAAGAGTGTTCTGGGCCATGTGTTTTGACACCTCTGATGCACAGTATATTTCATTAGTGTGTGCACCCAATGAATTTTTTTTCATAGCACCCCCTCTGGGATACCTCCTCAAATCAGCACTCCCAAGTTTGTAGGTTGAGTCACCACAGGGGAAATAACTATTACTACTACTACTACTTCAAGTTCAAAGTGTCTGTACTCCTAAAACTATAGTTTACAAGCCCCTACTGGTGAGTTACCTTTAAAAATCAGCCAGAAGATCCAATTACCTCAAAGCAAAGGCATTTTTACTAAGATGATATAGTATGACATATGTATATATCAGATGATGATATAGTAATAACAGTAGCTTATAAAACATTTTCCCTCATAAACTTGTGGCTTACTCTCCCACAAATATATAACAGTGTTAGCGGGAAGAGTGAGTACCTATTTACAATGGTAATGAGGCATATACATAGAGAATATATGGGACCAAGGCAACTCATGCTTCTGGTACCATTAAGCACTCACGTCATTTCTTGTGGAATTTTCACACAGATCTCTCCTCCCCTGTTGGGTGAGTTACTCAGCTGGGCTCTGCAGGATTGCTCTTCTCCACGACTCAAGGCCGGGCTGCAAGAGCTAATTTTTCTTTAATTCATGGTTGCCTTTTTTCTCTTTGTCAAATGTCACAATCTTTAAATCTGCTTCCTGCTCCTGTCTGTGTCTCATTAGAAAATGTGTCTGCTCCAAGGGTGTGCTAAGCCAGTGGCTAATGAATGGCTAATGAGTGCTGTTAAATTTTCAGTGTGAGCATTTACAATTTGGAAATTGGCAAATGCTACAAAGCAAGGCTAGACAATCAGCAAAATGAGAATTTATGGCTTATTGTTTGTCTCTTAAAATAAGACAATCAAGGAAACAATAAATTGTTGTTTATTAAGAAAGTGGTGGAGAAAATGTTAATGCAGATTAAACTTAAAAGTGCCCATGCACATTTTGTGGGGAGGAGAGCTGGTTGTTAAACATTTACAACATGCTTGCATTGCTCATTAATTAGTATCTCATAATTATTGTCTTTTCTCTACTCATGCTGTTACCACATTTACAAAACAGGTCTCCATCAGCTCTTGCTTGGACTACTGCAATAAATGCTGAATTGGTTTCCATACTTCAAGTCAATCCTTTCTCTAATCAATCTTTCATGCAGCTGCCTAATTAATATTCTTAACATATAAATCTAATGATGTTATTCTCTGGTTCACAGTTCTCAGTAGCTTCCAACTGCTGCTAGGATAAAGTAATAATAGCTAACACTTATGTGGCACCTTACAAAGTGCTTTCATATAATTTTGGGGGGGGGGGTTAATAGTATTTTTTCCAATTATATGTAAAGACAATTTTAGCATTCATTTTTATAAAATTTTGAGTTCCAAATTTTTCTTCCTCCTTCCTTCCCCTCCCCTCTTCCTAAAATGGTAAGCAATTTGATATAGATTATATATGCGCAGTCACATAAAACATATTTCCATAGTAGTCACAGTTGTGAAAGAAGAAACAGATCAAAAGGAAAAAAACACAAAAAAACAAATAAAGTGAAAATGATATGCTTTGGGCATATAAGTTTTTTCTCTGGATGTGGATGTGCTTTACATATATTGTATTATTTCTTTTTTTTCCCCTCACAATGACAAATAGATGCTATTATTATCTCCATTTTACAGATGAGAAAACTGAAGCAAACAGAGGTTAAGTGACTTGCTTAGTCCCAGGTCTTCCTGATTCCATATCTGCATTCTACCCACCAAGCAATCTAGCTGCTTGGCCTGGCCTTAAAAGTTTTTCACAGTCTACCTCCTTTTAGGCTTACTTGTCATCATTTCATGTTCCAGCCAAATTGGCCTATTTCCTCTTCCATGAAGTTAACATTTGATCTACTATCTCTGTGCCTTTGCACAGGCTATCGCCCATGCTTGGACTGTTGCTGTCATTGTACAAATGGTATTTGTCAAGTTCAAAGTAACAAAAAATAAAAACACTCTTTCCTAAATAAAAAACATGCTTAGTAAAGTTTTGATTAAATACCTGTAAGTTCCACCATGTTCATCAGCTTGTATTTTTGCTTGGTCTTGTCTGGCACAGAAGAAATGGTAATTCTTGGAACATTTTTTAATGTCACATCCCACAGTAGCTCCTTTCTTAAGACAATATGAGCATTTCTGAAAAAAAAAATGAATAAAATGTATTGAGTCAATTGTTTGCTATAGCTGCTTTTATTCTATTTTAGAATTACTGTTGACAAAAATTGATTGGAAAACTGGAAAACAGTATGGCAAAAACTAGGTATAGACCAACATCTCAGGCCATATACCAAGATAAGGTCAAAATGGGTATATGAATTATACATGAAGGATGATACCAGAAGCAAATTTAGAGAGCATGGAATAGTTTATCTGTCAGGATTTATGGAGAAGAGAAGAATTTAGGACCGAAGAAGATAAAGCATTACAAAATGTAAAACAGATCATTTTGACTATATAAAATTAAAAAGTTTTTCCACAAACAAAACCAATGCAACCAAAATTATAAGGAAAGCAGAAAACTGTAGGAAATTTTTTTGCAGCAAGTATCTCTGATAAAGATCTCATTTCTAAAATATATAGAGAACTGAGTCAAATTTATAAAAATACAAGTCATTTGCCATTTGATAAATGGTCAAAGGATATGAACAGGCAGTTTTCAGACAAAGAAATCAAAGCTTTCTATAGACATATGAAAAATGCTCTAAATCCCTACTGATCAGAGAAATGTGAATTAAAACAACTCTGAGGTACCACCTCATACCTATAAAAGTGGCTAATATCACAAAAAAGGGAAATGTTCGATGTTAGATAGGATGTGGGAAAAATGGGACATAATGTACTGTTGGTAGAATTGTGAACTGATCCAACCATTCTGGAGAGCAATCTGGAAGTATGCCCAAAGGGCTCTAAAACTGTGCATACCCTTTGATCCAGTAATACTATTGCTAGATCTATATCCCAAAGACATCCAAAAAAAGGGAAAAGTACCTATTTGTACAAAAATATTTATAGCAGGTCTTTTTGTGGTGACTAAGACTTGGAAATCAAAGGGATGCCCATCAACTGGGGAATGGCTAAACAAGCTATGGTATGTGATTGTGATGGAATATTATTGTGCTATAAGAAATAATAAGCAGGATGATTTCAGAAAAAAACTGGAAAAACTTATATGAACTGATGCAAAGTAAAGTGAATAGAAACAAGAGAACACTATATACATCAGTATTGTTCGATGAAGAATTGTAAATGACTTAGCTATTCTCAGCAATACAATGATCCAAGACAATCCCAAAGGATTAATGATGAAGCATACTGTCCACCTCCAGAGAAAGAATTTATATTGACTTAATACAGACTGAAGCATGCTATTTTTTATTTTCTTTCATTTTTTTCTTTTATTCAAGTCTTCTTATACAAAATGACTAATATGGAAATGTTTTACGTAATTACACATGTATAACTTCTATCTGATAGCTTACCATCTCAGGGAGGGAAGAACGGAAGGAGAGAGGGAGGAATATAATCTGGAACACAAAACTTTAAACAAAAATACTTAAAAATTGAAAAAAAAGAATCACTGTCAAATTACTACTAAATCCCTTGCCCCTTTGTGGTTCATAGGTGACACCCTGTCAATCCTCCATCTTTGGTCATTCTCATCAACTTATTTCCCTGTTGCTCCTATATCTAAGTCCAGAACACTGCTCGAAGTTATGCATTCATAACAGCGATATCCACTAAAAATTCATGTTATCAGCTGCAGAAGCAATATTTGCCATGGGAGCTAGGTGAGTTTTTCCTTAAGACTGGTTCTGGGAACTATGCTCAAGCTACTGATGTAGCTTTCTGATGGCCTAAGTACAAAAGCCAGCCCACAAGAAGGAAAGAGGTAGTTCTCCTTCAGACTCAATGGGCACATCAACATGGTGAACACAGATGTAGGGGAATTGCCCTCAGATGAATCAATGATGTATCCTTGTCTCATTTTGTTGCAATTTCCAACCTGGAGCATCAGACCAGAGCATTCATGGCCAGCAATATTACTGAACCTCAACCATGCCCTAACTGCTGTGTGAAAATCCTTTGATTTATTTCTGATTGACTATCACATTCCAGATCCTTTCTTTCTGCAAGTCTCCAATTTCATCTCCACTACCTTTTCTCTCAGGAGAACACCTCCCCACCTATCTTACTGGAAAGATCCAACCCATTCATTGTGAGCTCCCTTATCTCCTCTACTTAACACCTTAACACTTTCCTATATTTCAGCCCATCTCCTTCTCTGCTCCAGTTTCCAAAGCCAAGAGGGCCCTTATCCCTGCCAAAACTAACCCCTTTCTTATGTTCTTCATCCCATATTCTCTAGTTTTCTTGAAGATCTTGTTGATTAACTGATTGATCTCACCCCATTCATTAATCATTCTGTCTCATCTTCACCCTCTCCTTACCTTCTCTGCCTTGTTCTTCAGTAATACGCCTTGTTGCTGTAGTTCTTCCGTCATTTTTAGTCATGTCCAATTCTCTGTGACCCCATTTGGAGTTTTCTTGCAAATATACTAGAGTGGCTTGTCATTTCCTTCTCGAGATCATTTTACAGATGAGGAAACTGAGGCAAACAGGATTAAGTAACTTGCCCAGGGTCATAGATAGCTAATAAGTGTCTGAGGCCAGATTTGAATTCAGAAAGATGAGTCTTCCTGATGATAATACTATTTGCTGCATCACCAAGCTGCCCCTAGCTTTCACTGTCTTAAAAAAATCCCTTTGTGTTAACAAAAATTACTAAAGGGTCCGCTGCTTCTGACCCAGAGATTCCAGTGCTAGGAATGTACTACAAGCAGGCCAAAGACAGTATGAAAGGTCCCATATTTACTAAAATATACATAGCAGCACTTTTTGTAGTAACCAAGAAATAACGACATATAAATTTTGTCATAGGAATGTGATAAAATGTGTTCACATTTTAAAATTTCTCTCTTGATATCTTCTGTCTTTATATCACTTTCAGTTCCAAATGTAGACCTGCCTCAACCTCACCCAGATAACCATTTCTTATATTAAAGTGCAGGGAGAAAGTATTTCAGCAAATCCAAACAATGCATCAACCAAGTTTGACAATACACAGTCTTCCACACCCATGCTACCCCACATCTACAAAGAAGAGAGGGAGGTTAGTTATCCTAAGTGGTCAGTTTTGATTTTTTAAATTTTTTTGCTGTTTTTCTCTCCATTTGTGCTATTGTAGTTGTACATATTGTCTTACTTACCTCACTTTGAATAATTTCATATTTATTCTCATTCATGTCTGTATTTTCCATATTCATAATTTCTTAATGTACCATGATTTGTATAGTTATTCCTTAATCAATAGATAAGTTACTTTGTTTCCTATTTGCTACTATAAGATGTGTTCTCATAAATATTTTGGTATATATGGGACCTTTCTAACTTTGACTCCCTTGGACTATATACTTAGGAGGAAGAATCTCTGGGTTAAAAGAGCATTTTAGTCACTTTAAAAACTTAGAATTACAAATTCCTTTCCAGAATGGTTAGACTAATTTACAGCTCCACCAAAAACTGTGCTTATCTTTCCATCACCCTTTCCAACACTAACTATTTCCATTTTTGTAAATTTGGAGAGAAGATGAAACATGAGATGATTTGCATTTTTCTTATTATTAGTGACATGGAACAGTCTTTTATATAGTCATTAGTAGTTTGTGATTCTTTTGAGAACTGTTCATATTGTTTGACCACTTATCTGTTGGGGAATGGCTCTTAGTAGGCAGCCTCCTGGTACACAGGTACCTTGTGCTTCAATTGCTTGAGTGAAAATTTCTTCATATGGACAGTCATATAAAAAAAATACCCTAAATCACTATTGATTAAAAAATGTAAATTAAAACAGCTCTGAGGTACCACCTCAAACCTATAATATTGGTTAATATGACAGAAAAGGGAAATGACAGATGTTGGAGGAGATATGGAAAAACTGGGGCACTATTGCCCTATTGGTAGAGTTGTGAACTGATCTAACCATTCTGGAGAGCAATTTGGAACTATGCCCAAAGGGCTACAAAACTGCATACCCTTTGTCCCAGCAATACCACTCCTAGGTTTGTATCCCAAAGAGGTCAAAGAAAAAGGAAAAGGATCTATATGTACAAAAATAATTTAGTGGTGGCAAAGAATTAGAAATTGAGGGGATGCCCATCAACTGGGGAATGGTTGAACAAGTTGTCGTATATAATCGTGATGGAATATTACTGCACCATAAGAAATGAGGAACAGAATGGTTCTAGGAAACACCTGGGAAGACTTATATGATCTGATGCAAACTAAAGTGAGGTGAACCAGAAGAATATTGTATACAGTAACAGCAAAACTGTATGATGATCAACTGAATGACTTAGCTCTTGGCTGCCATCCACCTCTAGAGAAAGAACTGATGGAGTTTGAATGTAGATTTAAGCATATTTTTTTCCTTTTTGTTGAAACATGGCTAATATGGAAATACATTTTACATGACTGTACATGTACAATCTATGTCAAAATACTTGCCTTCTCAAGGAGGGAGGAGGAGAAAGAGGAAGGGAGAGAATTCAGAACTCAAAATGTTAGGAAAAAAAAACAAATGTTAAAAATAAATAAAAAATAAATTTTAAAAATTTTCAAAGTTTCTTCACTATAACCCTTTATGTACTATGACAGATTATAAAGTAAAAATTAGATAATCATGTGATCATAAGAAATATCATGGTACAGTGGGTAGAAAGATGGCCTTGGAGCCAGGAAGATCTGAATTCAAGTCCTTGACTCTAACTCATAGTGGCAGAGATAGAGGAGAGATTAAACAAGTTGTGTTACAGTAATATGATAGAGTACATTTACATTTTAAAATTTTTCTCTTGATATCTTTTGAGTTTTTTATAGGTTTCATTTTGTGTGTACACACACATGTACGTTTGTTTTTCTTCAGGTTAAGTCACTTATCTCCTAGTCTTTTAGCAATTCTCTAAAACTAAAAATATACCGATCTGCACTCCCAAATTTGTGCCCTTTTTGTCAGTTTTTTGAATGGAAGAATATAATGGAATTCTGTGATGAAATGATAAATGAATTTTTATAAAGGGTTCATTTTTGCATGGGGTCCATTCAGCCTTCCAGATCCTTCACCTTTTTACTGGCCTCTACTATAGGTCATGAAATCATTTAAACTTACCAATCTCTTTCCTCGATTGATTTCCTCTTTCACTAGCTCCACATCAAAATGTCTGTCCTGATCATTTAAGCAAGGATGATCCTCCTCAGATTCCACAAGTCCTGAAGAATATAACTATAGATGAAAAAAACATCAGTGTATTGTATAAAAGGGTATTGACAACAAAGGATTAGAAAACAGAGAAGGCCAGGCCAGGCGGAAGATCAGTTTTGCGCATGCAAACAAATTTCTTTCTCAAATTTGCTTATTATTTTTCCCTTGACAAAAAGAAGTATTACTAGGTGACTGAAGTCCAGTTCCTGGAAGGGACTTTTTGCCTTGTTTTGATAAGCAGAGAGGGAAAAACAATTTTAAATTCCAATAGGAATTAGAATGAAAAGGGATGAGCATGAAAGCCAATTTATTTATTCCCAATATAACCCACTCTGTTTGGCTCCTGTTCATTTTTACATAAACTCCCATGAACTTAGTCAGAAGTTTGGGAGAGCACATGGGAGGCCAGCTACATAGCCATTCCCTACCCCTTCAAAAATTAAAACAAAATGTTTAAGGAAGAGATTTTGTGAGGTTTCCTTGGTTCCCCTCCTTTCATAGCATGGAAGCAGATCTCACTTTTGGCAAATTTCATCCAGCCCATGGGACAAGTACCAAAAAATGACTCCATTATTTCTCAAGAGTTGTAAAACTCCAACATGGTTTTAAAAGGGGCAGCATCCTAAATAGTGAGAAGCTTGATGACGTCATTTGCGGAAACAGGCCTTCTTTGTCAAAAATGAGGTACAACCCTCCTCATTTCCCAAAATATGAAATTTCAAAAGGCCAAAAGAGATTACATACAAGTCAATGCTTCCAAACTTTAGGTACAAATTAAGACACCTTTTATAACAAATTCTGGCAATATTTACCTAATATTAAGCTTTTCCCTCTAAAACAGCACATTTAATAAGTAACTTAGGTCTTTTTTCTCCAATTTTTCTGTATATCTCTATCTGCCCTTTCATCTTTCTTTATGTGTGAGTCCATCTGTTTCTCTACCTTTTTTTTAAAAAACATGTCTATTCTTCTCTATTTCTGTATCTGATTCCTTCTGGGTTGTTTTCTTTCTCTGGCCTTCCCATTTTTTTCCTTCTTTAACTGAATATGGTAAAACACTGAAATAAATAGTTTATTTATTTTAAGTGTAGATGAATACATTATTTTATATTTTTCTCTCTTAGAAGAAAGCAAAGGTGCTAAAAAAACTAATTTGCATTTATTTATACAGCACCTTTTTTTTTAAACAATCCTCTGCCTGTTTCACAGACTCCTTATCCATAGGTATTTTGTGTTTGAAAGTCTATCATAACTCTTTCCCTGTGTATTATAATAGGTTACAAAACTAAAAATTAGGAAGCCAAGTGATCCCAAGGTGCCTACATTGGAAAAAGAGAAATATGTTAAGAAAAGAGAACCAGTAAAATTCCTTGGAGATGACAAAGTAAGAGATCTCAAAGGAACCATGCTCCTTATACTCCTGAAAATAATGACAATAATAATAAAAGCACCAATAAGAAACAACTGCTTAAAATCATCATAAGAAAGTTAAGATTCACCAAAAATGCAGTAAGTGAATTGTAAAGGAGCACCAATGTAATAAAAAATAAATTTTGGAGTGACAAGAAACACATAACAAAACAATATATAACAAACACATGAAAGGTAAAAAAACAAAAACAAAAACAAAAAACTCGAGCTCCCACTACCAGAATGAGTTAAGCAAATCTAAGAAACAACTCACAGTATCCTGGGGATTATGTTCAAGCAGATCACAAGAGAATATCAAGGAATTACAAGAAAAACTGAAATTAGCAACAACAAAAAAACTGAACATACCTAATAAAGCCTAGAAGGAATTAAAGAAATAATTGAATGTAATGAATAAGTCTTGGGTGAAAATAATGGCTAAGTGTGCCAAAATAGAAAATAGCATAGGAAATTTGAAAATATGAATAAATGCAACTAAGAACAATTAAGAAGCAGAAGACAGAATGATAGATAATGCAGGGAAAATGAGCTCAGAAAATAACCGGAAAAAGATATAAAGGTCAAATAGATCAAAGTGAATGATTTGGGAGACAGAAAAAAAAAAACACTCAATTATTGGGATCCTGGGGAAAAAACAGAAGGAAAAAAGAATCTGATAACTACAGTTAAGTAACAGTCACAGAATTATTCTTAAAAAATGAAATTAAATAATCCAGAGATTCCAAAAAGTTAGTTCAACTCATTCAGGTACATCATCCTTAAACTTTAAAATGAAGAGGCCAAAGGAACAATCCTTAGTGATTAGATATATAGATGTGTAAATCCTGGTCTCGTGAGATTGGTTCTCTGAAAAAAAGAAATAACTAAAAAAATTAGAGTAAGATATACACCCTTATATATCTAGTTAAAAAACATGGACTCACAATACTAGAATCAGTTTAGCAAACCTAGAAAGCTAGAAAATATTAAAAATCAAACAGGTCTCAAATAATTAATTTTTTTAAAAAAGACTAAGATCTCTAAAGAGCCTTTGGAACTGAGTAGAAAATATCGCGAGAATTAAATATTTATTTAAAGTAATAGGTATTTTTCTGATATGATTAAGTACTTGCTATTTTATACTAAGAACCACTATGTGTGGGACAGCGATCACCCTTACCCAAATTAATTCAGAGGCTTCTCCAGGTAGAAAGTAGGAAAGATTTTATTTTAATCTCGAGAAAGGGCGACTCACACCCAAAGGCAGTTCGATGCAAGACCGCAGCTGGTATCAGCCAAACAAACATTTTTATAGGTTCTAATCGCAATTCCTCCCTAGCCCCTACCTCTTATCCCATTGGCTGGGCTTCAGAGGGCACAATCTAAACACGAAAAAAAACTACCCCAGTAACAGCAGTGGAAATTACAGAATTGTTACATAGGTTGCACCTGCCTCTCCCTCCTTTCAAGTATCCTCTTAGTACATGCTGTTTTTGTTCATTTCAGATCCTGGAATAATTTGTGGTAGTGATTATTTTTGCAACAATTTGAACATATTTATCCAGGCTATTTACAAGCTTCCTGTCCTGGGTACACATATACACACACTATTATTAGGGGTCTTTACCTTATTTTACTCATTTAAGCTTAAATTTCATGAGGGGTCTTCATCAATCCCACTCAATCCCTCCTCTTATTTGTTCATTGAAGACCTCTCACACCAGTTTTGGTATATTCCTTCCACTATTTCATCTCTTACTTCTGATCCTTCCAGCCCAGTAAAGAACAGATCAGAAATAATATTAAGGAAATCCCCATGGTGTCACACTCTGATTACAAGTAAAATGATTATGTAAAGAAGTAGAAACAGAAGCAAAAATTCCAATCAACAATATGGTTACAAGTAGAAGGGGAATTAACACACTTAAAAGGCTAATTGATAAGGGTAGGGGTTAGGGCTCATGAATCCAACCAGTGTGCGGCTTTCACCAGAGGCATAACTTCAATTCCCCTGGGTCTGTGGAATCGACTGTCCATTTAGCAGGGGGAGTTACCGGTCCCTTTACTCATGTGTGGTGCGTCCAGCCGCGTTCTTGGTCCGAGCCGCTGTGTCTGAAGTCAGCAGGACTTGAAAAGGTCCTTCCTAAGATGGGGTGAGCTTTTCTTCCTTCCAAGTCCAGATCAGCACCCAATCACCAGGTTGGAATTTGTGAAGTGGGAACCCCAAAGGTGGCATCTGGGCGATCAGCCCTTTATGCTGTAACACATTTAAATGCTTAACAACAAATTCTCTAATACTTGTGTTAGCGAAGTGGAATGAACCAATCCCTTGCCTTTACTATTCACCATTCCCCTTTCTTCCCAAATTTTCCCAAATATATGCACCGCCCCCAGGCATACTTAGAATCTGTAAAAATGTTCCCACTTTTTCCTTCTAGTAATTTTAAAGTCTGATTTAAAGCATATAATTCACAAGTTTGAGCAGACCAGTCTTTTGGCAGTCCCCCTGCCTCTTCTAAGGCAAGCTGATCCCCATCAATAATAGCATATCTATTTTTCATTTTTCCTTCTACCACTCGGGAGGACCTGTCTATAAAAAGGTTTCTGGCTCCAGGTATAAGAGACTCCTGAAGGTCCTCCCGAATCTTTGTCTGAAAATCCACTGTTTCCAAACAGCAATGTTCCAAATCTATTTCCCTTGATCCTGTGCTAGTAAGAAAAGAGGCCAGATTCAGATTCGAGTCTTGGGTCAACACCAAGTCATCCTTTTCCAGTAATATGGCCTCATACTTCAGGATCTGGGAATCTGTTAACTACCTCCTGGCCCTCGGATTTAAGATAGATCTAACTTGGTGTGGTACACTAACTATCAGGTAAGTTTTCTACTTTCTTCTACTAAGATAGCCATCACAGCTACAGCTTGTAGGCCATCCTTGGGCTACCAGATCCAGGACTTTACAGAGGAAGGCTACAGGTCTTTTCTGCCCTCCTCTTATTTGTGCTAAAACTCCTAAAGCTACTTCTCTTTCTGCATTTACATACAGATGAAAAGATTTTTCTAAAGAGGGTAAGGCTAGAACTAGTGGAGATACCAGGGCCTCTTTTAACTGACAAATCTCTGTTGGCTCTCCGGTGTCCACTGGACAGAATTAGGTTCTTCTTTCAATAAGTGCTGATACAGGGGTTCTGTTAATATTGCATATGAGTCTATCCAAGTACTACAAATAGCCCACTAGCCCCAAAAACTTCCTTAACTCTCTTTTAATCTTGGGGGGTTCAACTTGGAGGATTCCTGCCACCAGCTCAGGATCCAATCTTCTACTTCCTTTGCTAATGAAATGTCCCAAATATTTAACCTCTCTTTCCACAAAATGTAGTTTCCCCTTTGAGACCCGGAGCCCTTCTTTCTTTAGGTAATTTAATAATTCAATAGAGACTCAACTGACTTCCTCTCTCCTTTTCCCTGCTACCAACAGGTCATCCACATATTGTAGCACTCGGGCTCCGGGAGGTGTTATAAACTTCTCTAATACGGCTTCTAATACTTGTCCAAACAAATTTGGTGACTCAGTATATCCCTGAGGCAAAACACACCATCTATACTGCTGCTT